TAAGTAAAGCAGATTGTCCTCCATAATTTTGGTGACTCTCAAATCAGCTGAAGGCCTTAAAAGAGAAAGAAAACAAACTGGAGTTTTTTCCCAAGTGGAATTTTACCTTAAAACTAAAGCAAAGACAGCTGCAAAAATCAATCCTTCCTCCCAGCACCTGGTTTAGCAATTTTGAGACACAAAACTGCCAGAATTGCCAGCCTGTCTTCTGACCTAAGGATTCTGACTTACCAGTAGCCAGTCCTGTCCGCCTACCTATGCAGGGATTTCAAAAAGTTCGTGGGGGGAAAAATCCAACTAAAGATAACAGACTTTTCCCATGAATTTTTTTGAAGCCCCCACAAATACACTTACCTAGGTATTAAACAGATCAAGGTTGAAGAGTCATTACTAATTAAAAATATTCACCTCATTTCTTCTCGTTTCCAAACATAGCTAATGCCAGAGTAATCATGTTGTCTGCTATCAAGAAAAGTATACATAGCAGTTCTTCATGCTGCTCATTTTCTCATTATTAGGCAAAGCAATAAAAATAGCTCTTTCTGCTTTTAGAAGAACACATCAACCTGACGCAACAGGATGAAAACACATTACTAGTTCAAGAGATCACCTATCACTACCATGATAATTAGCTCATATAACTATTGTTTATAATCATTAAAAATATTACATTTTTATAGTATTTACTGACAAGGAATAGTAAATGGACAATGGAGCTTTAAGATAATTTAGTGCTAGAAAGAGTCATTTGACTCTATCTAGATCTGCTTTTCACTCTGAGAACTATTGTACTAGTAAAACCTCTTCATCAGAGGGAACTCTGAAGCACAACTGCACCAAGTCAGTCCAACCTGGAGGGTCAAGTGCATACTATCAGTCAATAGGACACCCCTCCGAGGTATCTCAGGAGGAACCGGTTCCTAGATGCTCCAGCCCCTGGGGCTAACACTCAGCAGTTGGTGGGTTGGATAGGATAGGAGAGGCAATGAGGCTGGTAAAGGGAATGTAGACCGGGGACCAACATCCTCTACTATAGGAAGTTAAACTATATTAACAAAAAGGTTTGTTGGGATGGTGCAGGTATACAAATCAAATGAAATTACTCTAAGAAAACGTTATTAAACCAAAGCCAGTTGTCATGGGGTCCATTTTTAACTCCTAGCAAACTGTGTGTATCAGAGGAGAGTTGTGCTCTACAGGGTTTTCAATGACTGATTGTTGGAGGTTGATCCCGTCTGAGGCACGTCTGGGTGAACTTGCACCTTCAACCACTTGTATCACTTGAAAACCAATCAACGAAAGTCATTAAGATTTACCCATATTAAATGTAAATGCGTGCTTAACTAACATCTAACTGCCTTCAAGTAGATACTGACTCCCAGTGACTCTATGGGGCAGGGTAGGTTTCCAAGACTGTAACTCTTTATGGGAACAGGAAGCCACGTCTTTCTCCCAAGGAGCAGCTGGTAGTTTCAAATTGCAGACCTTGCAGTTAGCAGCCTGTGACATAATCTCCTGTCAATATGGGAAGGGGAGGTGTCTAGCCTGTCAATCAGGTCATAGCTAATAATGCCTCTGTGTGGGCATGACCTGCTCATGAGGATTCTGGGAACTCCTGTCTTCCTCCCTGGAGGCGGGACACACTCTCTGCTTTACATTCCTGTTGACAAGCCACATGGAGACACACTAATGGAGCCAGAGTCCTGGAGCTGGAGGAGCCATATGGAGACCCATACCAGAGCTGAGATGCTTCCACTATCACTGGATCCATAAACTTTCCACCTGCTGGACTGTGATCTTCCTGCATTCGGCATCATTGCATTTGAAGTCTAAAGAGGACTTTATAGACTGATATTAGACATATGGGCTAATATTGGACTTATGGACTAGAACTGGACTGGGATGTTTTCTCAATAA